TTATTTATTCATTTATTTATTAAAAATTTATTTATTTATTTATTTATTAGTTCTTTATTAAAATCGTTAAATAAAATTTTATTAAATTCACGAAGACTGGTGAAGAGGCCAAAGCAATTATTCTTAGTGAAAGACCAGAACTAGAAGTAATGGTTTTTCTCTAATAAGATCTTAATTATTAAACTATTAATAAAAAAATAAATTTAAATGTGAACAATTAATTAAATCTATTAAATTATAATTTTCTTCTTAAGTATTTATTTGTCTGAGGCACCAGCAACAAAAACATCTTTGCGTTCCAACCAGAGAGTCGGAATCGATCTTAGTCGGAGATTTTTTGAGTAGTCGTAGTTGGAGTCGGATTTTTTTCTCCGATTCCGAGAAAATGTTATAAATTTAAAAAAAAATTTTTTTGAAATTTTTTCAACATTGTGCTTTTTTGAAATTAAATATGTGCAGCAATATGCAATCATCCTTAATACTGAAAATAAATGCTAGTGACATGAATAAAATCGAATATTTTTTCTTCGGTATGTTTTAAAACATAAATATAAAATTATTTTACGCAAAAAGCATTTATCACATTGACTGATTTTAAGTGTTTTTTAAAGTATTATTTCATTTAGTAGTGATAATAAAGTAAACTTATGATGCAAGAGTTGAAAAATATTTCTGGGTGTAGGAAACCGGAGTCCGGATCAGAAGTTTTTTTATCTCGACTCTCGACAGCGCTAAGCTTATTAACCATCACATAATCAAGCCGCCCTAGGTCCTTTTAAAACAAAAGGAAATTTGTTGCGTAACATTTAAGAAAATTTATTTTAATAATATAACGAATAGTTCAAAAAAATAATAGTTTTTATTATTATTGTAATTATATAATCCAATAATTTATCAAATAATACATTTCCCAGGTTCATGTTATTCCAGACGGTTCGCCAGTCACAGCTGACTTGAGAGAAGACAGAGTGAGAATCTTTGTGGACAAGAGTGGACGCGTTAATTCGAAACCTATGCTTGGATAAAGACGATAATATCAATAATAATAATTATTATTCTTAATATTATTACGCTGGCCATGATGATAAATATTTTTTATTCTAATATAATAGATTAAAAGTTTGTAAAGACATATATTTAATTACAAAAAATGGCTAAATTTGAATTTTGAAAAAATTATAAATTTTTAAACATTTGGTTTTTAAAAAATTATTCTTTCGAAATCCGCGTTAATCAAATTGTTGAAAAATATTAGTAATTATTATATTTATAAATAATTAATAAGTAAGTAAATAATTTCAAATTAACTAGTTTTGAATTCAAAAGTCTAGGTTTTACGTTCGAACGTGTGCGTGAACGTTCTCAAATTGAGCTATAAATTTCATAAGCAGACTGTTTAATTAGTTTTGGACTTCGATCCCCAACAACGTGAAACCTCATTCTTTTGAAAGAGCCAAATATTTCCTCGACATGGGTTGTTTTTTTATTTCATTTAAATATTAACTAAAAATACAGAAATAAACGATGTTGGAATAGCTAAAACAGCATATGTGGTCATTTTGTCAATAATTTTTTTAAGAAAACCTGCAGAAAAACAAAAGCAAAAGCAAACAGCTTTGTACTTGAACCAATCGTGTACCCGTCTACAATTTACAGGATTGCGTGCATGCAAACACGGAACATCAAATGTCTAAACACGGAACATCAAATAACTAAACACGAAACATCACATGTCTAAACATGAACCTAAACATCATTATTTCAATTGACGGCATCCAAAACTAAAAGGCGTGTGCATATTCTCGTCTGCAATGTTTTGTTTGGTTATCTTTGTGTTTGTAAGGATGTCTTTTTTCTAAATGTGGTCATTATGTTGTATTTTTGTCTAGACACAAAATAGAAAATATAAAATACAAAGGTTGGATGTCCTTGATGTTTTAAAACGTACTGTTAAATTAAACATGATTTTTGAGGATTCTGGGGTGAGCGATATAGGGAGTATTATCTCGTAACTTCAAATTCTGCTTAAAAATCGTTTTACGGAATTACAATTTCAAATTTTTTGAGAATTGTTTACAAAAAGTTAATTTTTAATAGTGTAAATTAATAAAAAAGTAAATTCTTGTAGTTGCGGTAATTCATATTGCTTACTCTACCGGGTGGGCCAGTCGGTGAAACTGGCGCCACAAAAGAAGAGAACGAGGGTGTTGTCATCCATAGTAACACAGACACCAGCACTTGAAGGAACGATGTATTATGTTATTGAACCGCAAAATTCTGGCGTCAGTCATGATTTTGGAAAAATATCGGTATTTAAAATACAAAAATTTTTTCAAATGAACATTGGAGAACTGCAATTCATAAAAATACAACCAAACAGAATTATCTTCAAGATAAAAGAAAAAACCCAAATAGAAAAAGCTTTAAAAATCGACTATATGATAGATACAAAAGTCAAATGCTATCCTCATAAATCACTCAATACAAGTAAAGGAGTTATCAAAACAACATTATTTAAATATTGCACAGAGGAAGAAATAAAAGAAGAATTGGAAAAACAAGGAGTTTGTGATATATATAACATTAAAATTTCAAAAAATAATCAGAAGTTAAGCACCAACACTTACATATTAACTTTTCAAAACCCACAGCCTCCAACAGAAATAAAAGTGTGTTACCAAACTTTAAAAATAGATAGATACATTCCACCTCCTATGCGATGCACACGATGCCAGAAATATGGACATCATCACAAAGTATGCAAAAGCAAGGAAATCATATGTGCAAAGTGTGGAAACCCAGGCCACAAGCACACGTGGGAATCTCCTTGTCAAAACACACCAAAGTGCTATCACTGCAATGAAATCCATGAAACATTTTCAAAAAAATGCCAAAAATTTAAAATAGAAAAAGAAATAATAAAGAAAAAAATTGACAATAACATATCCTACAGTCAAGCCAAAAATCAAATCTGCCAAGAAAATAAACCGTTATATTCTCAAATAGCAAAAAAGAACATTTCAATGTCAGACAAAGCTGTTCAATGTGAACTAATAAAAACACCAATAAATCATTGCATAGAGTCATTTAAAAAAAAACAAATATAGATGCTCAAAATCAAACACAAACCAAAAAATCAGAATCAAGTCAAAAAATAAAACAAACAAATAACAAACCCCCAAATCCAAAAGAAAATATGAATGAAAGTAATGACCCATATATGTTTCTTTCTGATGAAGACATGCATGATGACTGCTTCAATGATGATAGTGATGATGAAAGATGTACTAATTACAAATCAACAACAATTAAAAAGCCCAGCAGAAGTAAACACGGATCGTGATACAAAAAACACAACAAACAAAATAGAAAATAAAACAAAATTCAACCAGAGCAGCATAAATAAAAATAGTATATATCCATATGAAGACTTCCCAAACAGAAATGACAATAATAATATAATAATATTACAATGGAACATAAGAGGAATGAGAAACAATTTACCTGAATTACAAATATTAATAGCAAAATACAAACCTCACATCATCTGTCTCCAAGAAACAAAAACAACTGATGACAAACAAATAATCTTAAAAAATTATTCATCATACTATAAAGCAGCCACTCCAACTAAGACAAATCCATCAGCTGGAACAGCAATATATATACATCATAAGATCACACAATCTTCTCATCAACTAAAAACTGATCATCACTTCATAGCTTCAAGAGTCACATGCAACAAATCATTTACCATATGCAATGGATATATCAAACCTAATAATATAATGAAATCGGAAGAATTAAAACAGTTAATTCAACAAATCCCTAAACCGTTTCTCCTCGTCGGCGATTTTAATGCTCACAACCAGTTATGGGGATCCCAAAACTCAAATACCCAAGGCAAAGAATTAGAAAAAACTATTATAGAAAATAACATTTGCCTCATCAAACCAACAGCTCCAACAATGTTCCATGAGCACACAAATACATCATCCATAATTGACCTAGTTATGACATCCCCAACAATGTTTGAAGATATTGAATGGGAAGCTGAAGAGGATCTTCACGGCAGTGATCATTTCCCAATAACTTTAACAATGAAAATTAAAGCAACAAATTATGAATGTAACAGATTGAACTACAATAAAATAGATTGGAATAAATTTAAAGTAATGACAAATGAAATGATGAAGGATATTGAAGAAATTGATGAAAACTCAATGGACAAATGGATAGACATAATAACAACAATCATAAAACAGATAACGCCGACTACGCAAAATAAGAAAGATAAAATACTAAATCCATGGTTCAATAAAAATTGCAAAAGTGCAATTAAAGGAAAACAAAGAGCATTCAAAATATTCAGAGACAATCCAACACAAATGAATCTGATAAATTACAAAAAATTGAAAGCTGTAGCTCGGAGAGTTGTGAGAAATGAAAAGAAAACTTGTTGGGACTCATACGTCAATAGCATTAAAGGAGATACTCCCGTTAAAAAAGTGTGGCAAATGATTAGAAAAATGAAAAATAAAAATTCTGACAATAAAACAAATCACATCATCATCAATAAAAAAATATATGAAACAGATGAAGAAATAGCAAATGTGTTGGCTCAGAAATTTCAGCAATACACTAAAAATCAAAACAATATATTTGAAGCCATCAAAACCAAAAAAGAAAATAAACAGATAGATTTCAAAACTGAACATCAAGAATTTTATAATACCCCAATAACCATCAGAGAAATGTTACATGAAATTGACAATAGCAGAGATTCATCGCCTGGTCCAGATCAAATATCATATAAAATGCTTAAAAACCTTTCTCAAAAGTCACAAACAATACTACTCAAAATTTACAACTATATATGGTCGAATGGAAGACTACCAAAATTATGGCTCCAGGCAATAGTAATCCCTATAAGTAAGCCAAACAAATCAAAATCACAACCAAACAGCTACAGACCAATATCTCTGACCTGTTGCACATGCAAAATAATGGAGAAGATAATCAACAATAGATTAACTTGGTACCTTAAAAAAAATAAAATCATATCTGACGTACAATGTGGAGGCATCAAAGGAAGATCAACATTGGACCACTTGGTGTCACTAGAAACTTCCATAAGACAAGCTTTGAATCAGGGAAAGCAAGTAGTAACAATATTTCTTGACAGAAAAAGCATATGACACTGCTTGAAATTATGAAATTCTAAAGAATCTATATGAAGCAGGAGTAAGAGGACGTCTGCCAGAATTCATTCAAGCTTTTTTAACAACCGTACTTTCGTTGTAAAGGTCAATAACTCCCTATCAGAAATAATGTCTCCAGAATTAGGCATTCCGCAAGGAAGTATTTTGTCTCCAAACTTGTTCTGTCTAAGCATCAATAATATAACAAAAATAATCCCTAGAAACACAATGATAGCTCTCTATATGGACGACATAACCATTTCTTTCCAAGACAAAGACACCAATAAACAGAAATAAATAAAACCTTGAAGGATATAGAGAAATGGTCGAATGAAAATGGAATACAATTCTCAAAATCTAAATCAAAAGCAATATTATTTTCAAGAAAACGCAATAAAACGTATCCTAAACTGATTTTTCAAAACAATCTCATAGAATTCACTCCTCAATATAAATACTTAGGAATAATATTTGATTCAAAGTTAAATTTCATACCCCATATACAACAAATAAAGAAGAAATGCCTGAAGGCTCTCAATTTAATTAAAGCATTATCTCAATACACATGGGGCGCACATCAAAAGCATTTGACAACAATCTACAGATCAACAGTAAGACCAATATTAGATTATGGCGGCCCAGTATATGGTGGCACCAGGAAATCCTATATGAAAATCCTTGAGCCAATAGACAACGAAGCTTTAAGAAGATGTTTGGGTGCATTCAAAACATCTCCATCAAGTAGCCTTCATATATTAGCAGGAGAGATGCCACTATGTCTTAGACACCAAAAACTATCAATAAATTACTACCTCAAAATAAGAACTCAAATAGATAATCCTGCTTATAAATACATAATGAATAAAAATCGACCAACAAAAATTAAATCCATTCCCACAATTGCAATAAGATTAAAAGAATATATCAAAGAAATAGATAAAACAAAGATTTTAGAGGAGATAACCCACAAAACCCCTCCATGGCTAATGTCTTACCCCGAAATTGACACATCCATAACAAGTGCAAACAAAGACCAAGAGCTGGCAAAAACTATGTATAAAGAAAAACTAAGCAATAATGAAAATAATATTAAAATATATACAGATGGCTCGAAGAAAGAAAATTCAACAACAGCAGCAATCATCTTCCAGCAGCAATATCAATTTACCAACAGTCGTACTCAGCATCTTCCAAACTACACCTCAATATACACAGCGGAAATAACAGCGATAGACATGGCATTATCCTCCATATACAATTCAACAGAAAAAAACTATCAGATATTCACAGATTCGTTGTCAACTCTCCTAGCATTGAAACAGTACTATCCCCGCCATCAATTAATTCTTCAGATCCAAAACAAAATACATGATATAATAAGCAATAATAATCATATTTCATTAATCTGGATTCCTAGCCACATTGGTATTGAAGGAAATGAAAGGGTAGATCAATTGGCAGCACAAGCGCACTTGGATCCCCCATCAAACACTCCAATTCCATATTACGACATAAGAGTGATGACAAACGACCTCATATGTTCCAAATGGCAAAAAGAATGGGATAAAATAACTAACTTCCTCAAAATAGTTATGCCAGAACTAAATAGTTCACAAAACACCAAAATCAACGAACTTAGTAGAAACAATTTAAACATCATAAATAGATTAAAACTCGGTCATTCTAAAATAACTCATTCATGGATTCTCAACAAAACAAACCCTCCAATTTGCGAGAACTGTGATACAAAATTAACAATCCAACATATATTGATAGAATGTCAAAATTACAATGAAATCAGGAAAAAACATCAAATGCCAAATGATATCCGATCAATTTTCAAAGATGGAAAATTACAAAACCTGTTATCATTCATTAAAGAAATAAACATGTTCAACAACATTTAATTGCCTCACGGGTCAATGAAGATCCACAAAAGAAAATAGAATCAACAAAGACCAAGGGCGTAAAGATAGCCTATCAGAGCTAAAACGCCGTAAAACTGCAGAAGAAGAAGAAGAAGAATTAAACATATAATGTTTGCACTTTCTTAGGCATTAGGTAACATGTTTCCTTCATGAGATCAATATCCAACGGCATGGTTTTCGACAATCAACAAAACATTCAAACAATTCAGCGCGATGATTATCTTAACAATCAGGGCACAATTTGCAACCAACATCACAACCAGCCAAATAACTTCATGCATGCATCAGGAAAAATTTCTAATCCAATCAAAGAAACACATAAGTATGAAAGATTTTTACATGCATGATTTAGATAACCACAAAAACTAAGATAGAGAAGCAAGGAAGCAACTGAATGAAAGAAGCTACAGCGTGTCAACTGCAGATTGTCCGCGAAATTGATTTCGACGCGAAGAAATATGCATCTACATTTGCTGGCGCGTTGTGATCATGTGCTATTGCATGCTTGTTCAAAAGTATAATCTAATGCAATTATAAGAAATCATTCGGAGAGTTTTGTTATAATTAATCAACGCTGATCGGATGCATGCAGCACGATACGGAAAATGAAATCATGATTAAAAGACATTTGATTTTTAACAATACTTTGGAGGTATCAATTCATAACAATTTTGATTACATTTTAAGATAGAGTTAATTAATTAACTTTTTTATTATTTTTTGAAATAATTATTAACAAAAATATAATATAAAATTTTTTTGAAATATAAGGATATATATCATCTACTCACAGTGAAGTTATTTTGACAATCGTGTTTTTCACATAACAACTTCAGATCGACAAGGGAAACACGCCACACGCAATCATAAACAAACGCGCATTGCATGAACAACGCGCGTCTGTTTATACGCCCACACACCAGCAAATGCACACACACATACACACACATCCACAAACATTTGCATACAAACACACGCGCCGCGGACACATTAACATATAGCGCCTCTGATATCTACAATACAATACAAATTTGTATATACACATTTGCGATGCTCGAACGTTCGATATACATTTGCGATGCTCGATGACAGTTCAGGACAAAATGTCATCATGATAATTATAGAGGGTCATCATGAACAAACTAAATTGAAGCTAGTTTTCTGTGTTAACAACACCACAGATAATAAAACATAAAGTCAAAAAAATATTAAAAACAACTGAAACATTTGATGAAATGTGATGCACCCTTGCTTCATGAAAACAAACATTAAAAGCAGCAAGCTGCCAACAGACATTTTGCTTTGAGAGTCGTCATTCTTTTCTACATGTCAAAATCGCGAAAGTTTAAAATCCATCTCTTTGAAAATATTCCAGAAGAGTGAAGCGTTTAAATAATGGATCTCTGTACACAACTAACTATATGATGTGTTTAGTTTCAACGCAATATTGATAATTTTGTTATATTGTTTAATTTTTGATTCATGCCAATTTAACTTTTGTTTGTTTTAGTTCAATAATTTTTTTTGCATTTCAATGTTTATATTTACTAAAAACATCATCATAATAGTCATCATCATCTTATCAACATCAACTCAACATCATCGTCGTTACCATCTGTTTAACCATCATTTATATCCTTAATTGTCACCATCATCATCGTCATCAACATCCCCATAATTTTGAATGTTTTTCATCGATATCATTATTCTCATCATCATCATTGCTATAATCTTCATCACCAGCCACAGCTTCATCATCGTCATCACCATAAGAAAGGTGATTGTAAGTTTATTGAAGAGCAAGAAATGGTTCATAAACTCATCAACAAACAACTGGTTGTCAATGTTTCATTGGTGTTTGTGTCAGTCCTTTCCTACATTCATTCTCTTTCTGCTCTATTCAAAACTACAGCACACCTGGAAACCACGGCTTATAAAAAAAAACAACAGATTGTTCGCATGAATAGAAAATATTTTTATACCAGTTAACAAAATGTGAAGAATTCACATTAAAACAACTAATGAACGATTAAAATATTTAAAAAAAAAGATAATTTGATGTGAACCAAGGCTTTTTATAAAATACAAATATCTTTAAGCGTTTCATGAGTAAAACATTTTTATTATCAATCATAAATTACTATTTTATTTGCTATTTCTACAAATATTTATTTTTATTAGTAAAACAATAGAGCAGTAATTAGTTGATAGATGTACGCACACATGTGTTAAATCAATGAAAGATCTCAACACACTATCAAACAAACATCTCCCGATCAAATTTGTAATAAAATTGCACGTAAGAATGAAATGAAATGTAGCAACACTAACAGTCGAACGCCCACTCAGCTTGGCTGCTCGAGTCGACAGCGAACAGCACGACAATGTTATTAACACTTCTGCAGATTGACATCTCGAGTTTTAAAACGTTTCTAATTAATTCTAATTTTTATTTAACTATGTTTATATTTTATATAATTATATTTAATTTTAATTTGTCTTGTTTCATTTTAATATACTATATTTCATTTTACTATATCTTGTTTAATTTATCATAACGTAACAGAAAACTGTCAGCACCCCTGTCTGTTTTGTTACATTTCTTATTATACAACTTTACAATCGTTCAGTCGTATATATAATTTTATTACTTATTATTTTTTATCTCATTTAAATATTTTTATTTAATCATTTACTTATTCGTAAAAAAATTTGATAGTTAACGTTTGAAAGCGTCACATGAATGAATTAATACATACTTGTATATGTGCGTTAGGGAAGAATGATGAAACGCTTGCATGTTATATAGACAGGGGAAGATGGACAATGTATGAGAACGTGTATGGTTGGACAATATATAAGAATATATATATATATATATATATATATAAAGTATGTGTTTGTAAATGGACAATATATGTATGTATATTCAGGCAGGAAGATGAAAAACTTTTGATGTTACGTTGAATATATCTGCATAGTTTGCTACAGCATTTCATCTCCGAATGCATGTTAATGTTATATCATTGAGCCCAGCTAAGCATAGATACATTCAGAAAAGTTTTTTTAATTTCTGATAAGTGTAGCATGCCAATGAGCTTACGTGCAGAGCAGACGCAAGGCGTGGTAGGTGACAGGCGAAGACATTCGAATTTGTATTTGTATTCTATGCAACAGTAACAGTTTCTTTTTATTCATCCAACCATTTAAACCAAATTTTAGCCCATTCATTCACCCTTGCATGTGATTCCAATTTATTGAAGTAATTTATTTCATTTACCGGATATCTATAAATAGCAACCGCGTGACACACGTCATCTATTACGTCACGCATGTCTCCGATGAAAACATTTTTCATTGTGCATGTACAATAGGCAATGCAGTGAAGTAAGGAACGAATAAGTGGAGTGACACAAATTTTTAGTGCATCAACCCTGTTCTATGGAGTGTGACGAACAGGAATGATTGGCTGATTGAATTGCATTTTATTGCCTATAACAACAATATAATGGCACCAAATGGGGTTTTAGGATTGAGAACACCCGAAACAGAAAATAAAATTGAGGTGAAGGACATGTTGAATGAAATTTTCATATGAATTCGTATAAATGCTGACTAGAAACTGTTTCTAACTCTACCACAAACATAAAATTTTGTCAATGAGTGATTGCTACTATTTTTATTATAATTAACATTGTTGTGTTATTATTATTATTATTATTATTATTAATATCCTGTATTTGTCTGAATATAATGTCTTCAATTGCTGGTGTTGTACTATTATATTGTAGTTATGGCAGTATAAGTAGATAACAAATAACATCAACAACAAAAATTTATTCTATGATTAATAATAATAAAAGTAATGTATATGCAATTATTTTGATTGATTTGATTTTGATATATATATATAATATATATATATATATATATATATATATATATATATATATATATATGTATGTATATAATACAATTATTTATAAAGATCATTGCGTTTTCGGCATTTCT